TGGTAAGATCCCTCCAGCTGAGCTGAAACTACCGGGTTACAGAAGACAGCAACAGACTGGGGCGGGGGTAGTACTGGAGATGCGGGGGGACCTCACGGGGCTTGCCTTCCAGGAAGCACAGCATGGGGCACCGACTACCCTGAGGCGCACCCGGAGGGAGCTGGAAGGGCTGCAGACCGGGGACTAGGAGGGCGAGACTGACCTGCCCCGCTGCCTTCTCCCCTTGCAGGTGGCCCAGAGCAGGACTGGTGCAGAAACGACTCGCCTCCCCTTCCACAGCACTCCTTCCCAGAGCACAGAGAACCAGAAGCCAGGGTGCGGGAAGACGGGGCTCCCCCAGCTGTGCCTCTGCTGCCGGCCACGTCTCCATCTGGGGCCAAAGGGGAGACTCTCGTGGGAGGAGTAGAGGGGCCCGTTGTCTCCCCTCTGGGCTCCCCCATGCACGTTGCCTTATCTCTCCCCCTCTAGCCAGGAATCTGTTGTGGTTTTCTTCTGCCAATTTATTATGATTGTACATGTGCCGCTACCTCCGCCCCTCCCATGGGGGGAGGGGAGGGGCACAGCCCCACCTGCTCCACTTTTCTACCTAGGATTGTACCAGATAAAGTCACCTCAGTGTGTTGTTTTTCACTGCTAGCACTCCTGGCTGCCTTCTTTCAGACACAGCCCTCCACATCTGCCATGGCTGAAATTATCAGGGCTCCCTCCTTTAGGGCACAAAGCCCACCTGCGAAGCCCAGGACCAAACTGCAAACACTGTAACCTCATGTGTCTTCCTGAGGTCTGAGGGGTTACGCCAGGTCACACCATCAGAGGCTGCTGAGCTTAGGAATCCCCAAAGGACAACTAGGTTTGCAAGAACAATGTTTATAAGATAAACAAATAGCAGGTGTATAGCCCAGACCCGCGCAAACCCCGGTCTTGGTGCAGGAACGGGGTCTTGAGGCAGTCAGCTGAGCACCGGGGCGGGGCAGCAATGTCCACAGTCTGTGTCAGGGCAGGGTGCTTCTGTCAGAGGACGCCCCACGCTTCTTCAAAGGCTGTGGTGAGCTTTGCACAGGTGAGGGCAGCAGAGAGGGGGTAGTTGCTGATGGACACCATCTTCTCTGTGTACTCCACATCCAGCTGGGGAGAGAGCAGTCAGTCAGCCAGCTCTGTCACTCCGTCACAGGTTCAGCCCTTGTCTAGGGCAGGAAGACTACCATTTCCCAGTGCTGTTTAATACCAGTGTGGGCAAAGGACGGAGACGGCCCTGGCTTTGACCATGACACATATGCCAGCATTCCTCAACGGATGCGCCCTGGAGGCAGGAAATGGAAGCTTCATCTGTCCCCAACTTATAAGGACAAGGATCGTCAAAACACTAAGTGCTCTTGGGATTCTGTCCTGAGCTTAAGCTCCGGGAAGAATCTAAGAGCTGAGCCCAGGCCTTACCCTGCCGTGGGCAAAGGCCCCCACCACAAAGACAACAGGGTCACCGCTGGGCACCAGCTCCCGCACATCGCCGACGACTGGGGCGGAAAAAGAAGTGCCGATTTTCATACACCCAACTGGGAAGTGATGTGACACTGGATTCTTAATCACCTAAAGAAAAACAGAAAAATCAGCCCCAGACACATTCCCAGAGCACTACCTCCAACTAGTAGCTGTCAACACCTCACCTTCAAGAGCTTCTGGGGGCCATCAGCTGCTCGAACGCTGAGTTTGTGTAAAAGCTGAACTAGGGCAGAAAAAAGAGTTCAGAGCTAGGCAGAGAGCCTGCCTCTTATGCCCAGTAATTTAACCAGGAAAAGCCTCAGGTGAGGTGAGATCCACGTGCTCTGCGTGTCTACACGACTGAAATGTCATGAACAAGCAGCTGTCAAGCACATCACTGGTTGTGTGGTGACAGGCCCCCTCCCTGCTCCTCAGCCAGGAACCCACGCAGGCTGTACCCACTGTGCGTGGGAAGAAAGCCAGACTCCCCTGTTCTGGAATCAGCCACATGTGCCCCTCCCCCACTTAAAAATTCCACACTTAATTTATCCCTTTGCCTCTTCCTTCATCACTACTGCCAAGTTTAAGTCCTAAGGCTTCTCTCTCACCCATGAGGCCACAGAAGCGGTCAAAGGTTCTGGGAATTCGAGTCTGGGGGTTCACTTCAATCAGCACATTCTTCTGCGTGTGGATATAAACCTGTAGCAAGCCAGCCCGGTTCAGGGGACTGTCCATCAGCATCAGTAAACTCTGAGGGAGGCGGAGACCAAGGCACAGTTAAGACGAGAGAAGTCGCACGCAGCTGCCTTACCTTCCGTACAGAGGCACGGGGGCCTGAGCTCTGTCCCTGGAGTTACCTGGTGAGCTATATCTGGTCTCACTTCCCCAGGGTCCCGTCCGTTCTTCAACAACATGGACTTGTGCTTGTCACAGCTGAGCAGTTCATATGACTTCCCCACCTGACGAACAGGGAACAAGGTCAAGAGCAACATAAGCTGCTTTTACCTGGAACAGTGGTTCTCAGAGGTGGTCCCCAAACCAGCAACATTCTCAGGTCCACTCCAGACCTACTCAATCAGACACACGGTGTGCGGCCCTGAAAACCCTCCAGGGGATTACTGTGTGGCCACGTCCTCCCCCGCCGACCCCATCCCATAACTGGTCTTGGAGGGAAAAGGGAGGAAGAGTGCAGCCTGTGATTCTACACGATCTAAACTAGATTGAATTTTTTTTAATTTATTTGTTCATTTTTGGCTGCGCTGGGTCTTTGTTGCTGCGCACAGGTATTCTCTAGTTGCTGCGAGCGGGGACTGCTCTTCATCGCGGTGTGCCGGCTTCTCATTGCGGTGGCTTCTCCTGTTGCAGAGCACGGGCTCTAGGCGCGTGGGCTTCAGTAGTTGTGGGTCGCGGGCTCTGGAGCGCAGGCTCAGTAGTTGTGGCGCACGGGCTTAGTTGCTCCGTGGCACATGGGATCTTCCCGGACCAGGGCTGGAACCCGTGTCCCCTGCATTGGCAGGCGGATTCTTAACCACTGTGCCATCAGGGAAGTCCCTAAACTGGATTTAATTTTAAAACCTACGGGTATTAGGCAAAGCCAGTGAGGGATTCTGGAACCAGGCAGAAGTGAGGTTAATGAGCAAGACTGAATGCTTGTTTATCACAAAAGCATTATGTATACACTGGGCAAAACATACGCAGTCACTACCCTCGGTTTGCTTATAACAAACATGCACAAAGAGCTGCAAATCTGAGCAGGAAGAAATGTGAAAATTCTAATGAGGCAAGAGGTAGTTTAATCAAGGAACATTCTCATAAGTAAAACAAAGAGGGGTGGTTCCAATTTTAAGGCATGTGAGCAACTGCTAAAAGAAACAATTGCAAATCAGAGCCCTGAGGAGCATTATAGGGTGGTCAATAAAAAATTTAAAAACATACCAGTAGGGCTTCCCTGGTGGCGCAGTGGTTGAGAATCCGCCTGCCAATGCAGGGGACACGGGTTCGAGCCCTGGTCTGGGAGGATCCCACATGCCGCGGACCAACTGGGCCCGTGAGCCACAACTACTGAGCCTGCAGGTCTGGAGCCTGTGATCCGCAACAAGAGGCCGCGACAGTGAGAGGCCCGTGCACCGTGATGAAGAGTGGCCCCCGCTCGCTGCAACTGGAGAAAGCCCTTGCACAGAAACGAAGACCCAACACAGCCAAAAATAAATAAATAAATTTATTTTTTTTTAAAACGTAGCTTTCCAAGTACTCTATTAAAAGACTTTTAAAAAAAAAATTTTTTTTTTTAAATAAAAACATACCAGTAAGTACAAACAGGTTTTGAAAAGGCCAAGTTTTTATGTATCAACACAACATTTGTATGTCCAGCAACATCTTGAGATATGACTCCAAAAAGTTTGGGGGAAGAGGCATATAGATTTTGAAATTAACTGAGCAGCTGAAATAACAAGAACGTCACAGAGAGTAAAACAAAGGACCAAGAACTAAGTCCATGGGACACTCTTAGTTATAGAAAAAGAACCTCTTGAATAGAAGAATCTAGATTTGACCCATTAGTAAGTTATAACCAGGGTTTCGTTCTCTTAATGGAACAGAATAGAAAACATCAGAGTACTTCAAATGTAGTCATGGTAAGTAAAGGCTTATGAAACTTTCAGCTTCATATAGTTGAGTGCGCACACTGGCTCACAATGTAATTTTTTTTATTGTGGGCTGTGGTTAATAAGCTTGAAAACCACTAACTAGAATAATCAAAGAATGAATACCATGTGTATTCTGTAATAGGCACTGGAGACACAAGAATTTTTAAAACCTTATTCTCTGTCCTTCTAGTGGAAGAGACAAACTAAACAAGCACATGAGTATTTAATTCGAATTGTGATAAACATTACGAAGGAAAACTAAACGGTTCACTAAAGAATTATGAGGACCTGATTTATACCAGGAAGGGAGTCATTTCTATGGGAAAGTAACATTTAACCTAATAACTGAAGAATGAGTAGCCTAATAGGCTCAATAATTTTTAAATGAATAAACATTAAGTAGGAATTAATAAAGCAAAGAGTCGAGTAAAGGGTGCTTGCAGTTAAACAACATTATCTGCAATGACCTTAAGATATAAGAGAACGTAGTGCTTTCAAAGAGCTTAAAGAAGGCCAGTGAGGCTGTGGAGTACAAAGAATAAATGGAGGGACTTCCCTGGTGGTGCAGTGGATAAGACCCTGTGCTCCCAACACAGGGGGCCCGGGTTCGATCCCTGGTCAGGGAACTAGATCCCACATGCATGCTGCAACTAAGAGTTCGCATGCCACAACTAAGGAGCCAGCGAGCCACAACTAAGGAGCCCTGGAGCTGCAACTAAGGAGCCCGCCTGCCCCAACTAAGACCCAGCACAACCAAATCAATTTTTTTAAAGGGGGGATATACGTATACATATAGCTGATTCACTTCATTGTACAGCAGAAACTAACACAACACTGTAAAGCAATTACACTCTAATAAAAAATAAACAATTTTTAAAAATTGAAAAAGAATAAATGGAGAGTGCAGGCCCAGATGAGGCTTGCAGAAGCAAGAGGTATCAGCAGAAGGAAGACAAAAGCTAACAGTATGGAAGATTTCAACCAGCTATGGAGTCCATCACCCTTGCAGTACCATTAATGACAACTGGCCTAATTTATTCCAGAGCATGCTCTAGGAACTTTAATTTGCCCACAACCTTTTCAACTTCCTAATAAGTAACCTGAATCAAGAATAATAATAACAACTATTTCCAAGTGACAGAAATTATTCTAAACCCTTTCCACATATTAACTCCTTTAATCCTTCCAACAGCCCAGTAAAATAGGTACTACTGTCATCCCCACAGATATGAAGAAATGAAGTGGTTAAGTGATGCTCAGAATTAATAGCCTGGGAAGACAGCGGCAATGAAGTGAAAAATGAATATATGAACCTATAATTAGGTTAGAAATATCAATTATAGAAGAAAATGAAAGGAAACCTGATTAACTGGTCATTTAAAAAAAGAAAAAAGTTTTCTAAACTTCTAGCTTAATAAAGTGCCATAGTGGTTGAGGAAGAAAAGATGGAAATGAATTGCACTCAGATTACTATGGCAATGTACTACTTTTAAAGCACTTTCATTACAATCCCCCTGCAAAGTATTAACCCCCGCTTTACAAACTAAGGACAAACTTGTTTTCTCAAAATCACACACTTAAAATAAGTGTAAGAACCAAGATTAAAATCCGGGTCTGGCTTCTAAACCAGTGCTATTTCTTCTGGCCCTACTCACTGAACAAGTTTAGTTCTAAACAGTATGAGAAACCATATCAGAAAGAATGAGAACACTGCACAAATTGTTAAGACAGGGAACTGCGGGATTTGTTCGGGAGAAGAGCCAAATGATAAGTAAAAATAAAGATGTGAAAGTATTCATGATCATCTGGTCCAGGCAGTGTTTTGAAATGTACAGTAATATAAAGGAGTGACAGACACCTTTCAACATACTAAAACATTAAGTCCTTACAAATCAAAGGGTGGGAAGACTGAGCTGCAGTAACTACCTTTCCCCTCTACCTAGTAAGCTTGTCTTGGGATGAAGCGGGACGACGCGATGGACGAAACCCCTTCCCCTTAGACGACTCTGGGGTTGGGGATGGCGTTAGGGTTACCATAGAATCCTAGTAAATCAATCGGAAGCAAGCATGTGACGGCTGCAATGGGATTCAAGGGCAAAGAAAACGAGCACTGCCGACCCATGTTAAAGGAAGAGACAGTCGATTAGGCCACTCTTTCTCCAAAGCATGTTTCACCTGTCTCCGCTTTCTCCATGCACTTTGAGCCCATCACCCTCACCCAACCTGGTCCCATCCTATCGATCTACTAGCTCTTCATCCCCTAGTCCGAAACTACCTTGACTGTCTCCAGACTGGCCCCTTCCAGCACCACAATGAGCCTACGGCCTCCGATCTTGCTTCCCGCCGCGAGTCGGGGCCGCTTGGGCGTCACAGCATCCCAGTCCTCTTCCTGCTCCGCGGCGCGCCGCTCACGAGGTTGGAATCCACCACCGGGCGCTGCCATCTTGCAACCGGACCGGAAATTGTGTAACGTCCTTAAACTAGGGCCTCGCTCTCGCCCCAAACGCAAGCTTCCTTCCGTCTGCCATTTTGAAAGTGGGCGCTCGGAAATGGCGACGGCTGGCTGCAGGTGCTCCCGAAGCCGCTCTGGAAGGGCAGGGTTCCAGAAAGGGGAGGGAACTTCCAGAGGCGTGCTTCCGGTGCCGCAAGCTCGGGTCCTCTGCAGGCTGGGGGGAGAGTTTAGAAGGGAGCGCACTTCCGGTGCCCTTTCTCCCGCGAGCACCTGGGGCCCGGACCCTCGTGTGGAGGGTGCGATCCGTAAACTGGAGAGCTGTAGAGGCGGGCCGGCACCCCATTCGGACCACTGGTGCCGCCGGCCTCAGGACCGAACATGGCCCAGAACTTGAAGGACTTAGCGGGACGGCTGCCCGCCGGGCCCCGGGGCATGGGCACGGCGCTGAAGCTGCTGCTGGGGGCCGGCGCCGTGGCCTACGGCGTCCGCGAGTCGGTGTTCACCGGTAAGCGACCTCAGCCTGCCCTCCGGACTCCGCCCGACCCTTCCCGGACCCCTGCCCAGCCCCGCCAGGTCCCCGCGCTCACCCAGATCCTCATCCCGCCCCACGTACTCTGAGCCCGGCCTGAGCTGACCCCTACCCCTCTCCCTGCAGTGGAAGGAGGGCACAGAGCCATTTTCTTTAACCGGATCGGAGGCGTGCAGCAGGACACCATTCTGGCCGAGGGCCTTCATTTCAGGTAATGACGGGCAGAGCGGACTGACCCTGACCCTGACCCTTCACCCTTGAACGCCGACCCACCTATGGCTGTGGGAGGACTTTCAGCGGGATTCCGCGCCGCTCTTTACCCTCCTCACCCCATCTCCCAGAACAGTGCGTGCTGGCCACATCTCAGGAGCACATACTGTTGTTCTCCGGAGGGAAAAGAGAATTTCTTTTTGACCGTGGTCATTAAGAGGAGGAGCAGGCCAAGAAACACGTGGTGAAGGAAAACCGGACAAAACTAGGGAAACGGTAGTCTCCTAATCCCTGTCCCTGTTCCCTCCCCTCCAGGATCCCCTGGTTCCAGTACCCCATCATCTATGACATTCGCGCCAGACCCCGAAAAATTTCCTCCCCCACAGGTTCCAAAGGTAGGTCTGGGCACTGGGGTGCCACTGGCAGTAAACAAGGGAGCCTGGCCAGAGACTAGGCAAGATGGGAGTGTCAGATCTCTTGGGCCTTGGTTTCCACCTTTGCAAACAAGCTAAAATAAGGGTACCTGTTTCTGGAGGTCAAGCAGTACATTCTGGACACGCTGTGTGTTTGTACATTTTTCAACTGTTCCTCCCCCCCCCCAATGTGAACTCGGTGAAAGCATTGTTTGTCCTTTATCTTAGTCACTGCCTAGAACAAAGCTTTGTTTTAAAACTTTTCTTTTAATTCTTTGACTCATTAACCTACTGGTACGCTCTGTCCTGGCGAAACTTGGCCGCACTCTTCACTGGTGCACCTGTTCCCTCCTAGACCATTCACAGAAGCTCTGCCTTTGAGATTCCCCAGACCAACCCTTATACACACACACACACACACACACACACACACGTTCACAATGAGGCAAGTAGCTCACCTGTAACGTACTGTTTTGCACGACTTTTAGTGCAGGTTGCTTAATATTCCCGAAATCCTAGGCCCTAAGAAATCAAGAATTCACAAAACACCACCTCTGTTCTCAAGTTCCCACAGTCTAGTTCAGGATTATGGTACAGTGTGCCACAGCCTGAAATAGAGTAGCGAAAAGGAAGGTCAGCTTTACTGGAGGAGGGATGTGAGTAGAGAAGACTTGACAGCGGACGAGGGCGCATGTGGTCTGTGCCGAATCACTCTCCCCACCGCGGGGCAGTTCCGGACCACAGGGCATTGCCCTGGGTAAAGAGAGAAGCCAGAGGAGAAAAAGCTTGGCGAGGGAGGCTTTGCTAGGAAGCCAGGTGAGGCCTTGCCCAGCCACTGCTGACCTCACGCTTAGACCTGCAGATGGTGAACATCTCCCTGCGGGTGCTGTCCAGACCCAACGCCGCGGAGCTTCCCAGCATGTACCAGCGCCTGGGGCTGGATTACGAGGAGCGCGTGTTGCCATCCATCGTCAACGAGGTGCTCAAGAGCGTGGTGGCCAAGTTCAACGCCTCCCAGCTGATCACCCAGCGGGCCCAGGTCTGACTCTGGCTCCCATCACCATCTGCGTAGCATCAGCATTTCCCTCCTAGGCCCAGCGCGCTGGGTGTTAGGAAAGGGTAGTGACCCGAGGTCCGTTGCCCCCCAAAAGCTGTGCAGATGGCTACCGTAGGAAACAAGGAGAGCCAAGATTGGAGCTCGATAGCAGTCAGTGTCGGGCTGCGTGGGAGAAAAGTGGTCCAGGCGTGCGTGTGGGGTTGGTACAGCATGGAGGAGTCAGCGTGACCCAAGTCCTTCCCAGCTCAACTGGCCTAACGAGGAACTAAGAAGGGGTTAGCGCACTTTCTGCGGTTCTCCGGAGATCTGGGATTCTGACTATCACAGAAGCACGCCTTCCTTTTCAGTTCTCCAGTCCCCTCAACGCCCCTCTCTCCTCCCCCCAGGTGTCCTTGTTGATCCGACGGGAGCTGACGGAGAGGGCCAAGGACTTCAGCCTCATACTGGATGACGTAGCCATCACTGAGCTGAGCTTTAGCCGAGAGTACACAGCTGCTGTAGAAGCCAAACAAGTGGGTGAGTCGCAGGAGGAGCCAGGCAAGGGTTTCTGAGGAAGCAGGAGGAGGGATGGGGTTCCTGACACCTTACATCTGTGACCCCGGTTCTCTCCCGCTACAGCCCAGCAGGAGGCCCAGCGGGCCCAGTTCTTGGTGGAAAAAGCGAAGCAGGAACAGCGGCAGAAGATCGTGCAGGCCGAGGGTGAGGCTGAGGCCGCCAAGATGATATCCTTCTACTGCAGTGCTCTCAGCCCAGCCCCTGGAACACTCGGCTTCCCATCCGGCCCTGTGGGCTGGCTGATGAGACTAAGGCGAATGCGAACCGTGCTCTCTGACCCCTGGGGGGTTGGGGTGCCGGGTGGGATCTGAAGTCTTAGTGGGGCACCTGAGGCCTGGCTCCTCACTGTAAGGCAGATCAATAGCACTGCTGGCCTTGCCTCCATCTGTGCTGCTGCCTCCTGTTCCCGGCAGCTGCCTGCGGGGAGGCCTACAGGTAGGGGCAAAGTAGGGCTGGGCACGAGCCACCTGAGCGCAACCTTGGATCTGACAGCCCAGAGGACGGCTGAGTGAGCCGAGTCATAGGGTGCGACCCCAGCTGAGATCTAGCCTTGTGTGAACCCTTAACCCCACCCTGCTCACCTGGGAGAAGCTCTGGGCAAGAACCCAGGCTACATCAAGCTGCGCAAGATTCGGGCAGCCCAGAACATCTCCAAGACGGTGAGTGTGAACTCAAGGCCGCCTTGAGGCGGGAAGGTGTTTCTACACATTGAAATGAGGGGATTAGGGTCTTGCGTGTTCGGATTTCTATTCAAACTGGCTTCTCTGACACTCCTCCTCCCATCAAAAATGGTGTCCCCTGGGCGCCCCTGACCTTTTGTTCATACCTCTTGTGGACCTAACACATCACAGTTGCTCGCTGCTCTGGATCCTTGTGTGAGCACAGAAACCGTGGCTCTCACATCGCCACTTCCCTGTTCGTAACCCACACGTGTTCCACCAGTGGTTACTGAATTGCAAGGGTAGGAATCAAGGTCTTTTTTGCTTGGTACAAACATCCATCTTACTTTCTGCCCTGTAGATTGCCACGTCACAGAATCGTATCTATCTCACTGCTGACAACCTTGTGCTGAACCTACAGGATGAAAGTTTCACCCGGTGAGAGACATGGCCTTCAGGTGGGGTGTTGACACAGAACAAGGGCCGGAGTCTGGCCGCTTGGGCTCTGGAGCCTGTTACCAGCTTACTCGTGTGACCCTTGAAAACACCATGTCTCTGAACCAGTTAGAAAACTGGGTGGTTGACAGTTCCTAACTTGAATCTCACAGGATTGATTTTATGCGATCCAATGGGAGTATTCATGTAAAAAGCACTTTAATTGTAAAGTTTTAAGTGAAAAGTGGTAAAAGATGATATTGGCTGTTCTTCCTCGGGAGCTGCTCTGGGGCACGGAGGTATGCTGGGAAAGCAGGGGTGAGAAATGGCAGTGGCCAGGGAGCAAGTCTTCTTCCCAGAGCCTGAGATTCCCAGCTTCCAACATGCTTGTCTTTTTCTCTTGGGAGCGAAGGAGGGTTTAGAGTTGGGTGGGGCATGAAACCGTCCAATCACATGTACCTTTCTCTTGTCGTTCTGTGTTCCCTGTTCATCTGGTGACCTGGCGTCCACAGGGGAAGGTAAGTTGATGGTGCATCCTTGTTTCTGTGGGGTCCTGCCTTTTCCCCACCACATCACCTTTCTCACCTCCCCACCCAGACATTCAGGGAGGAGGGTAGTTGAGGAGGGAGTGGCCCGAGGTGCTCTGACTCTCACAGGTACGTCCCCTAATAATGTCACCGTCTGTCTCACTTCCACAGTGACAGCCTCATCAAGGGTAAGAAATGAACCGCTGAACAAGAACTCCACCCTCAGGGAGGAAGTGGATCTTTTTCTTCCCCGGTTTTTGAGGAGCCAGCTTGGGGCCCTACCCCGCCCCCACGGTCAAGTGATGGTCCCTCTGCATCTGTCCTCCCAGCCCTTCTCGGATGAACAAAGACTGACCATTTTCAGGGGAGTGACTTTCCTCCCTGTGTCGGCCAGGGGTGTTGGGACTGTGATTTCCTGCAGGGTTGGTTCCTCCCTCGTGGCCAGAAGCAACAGCCACCACCCCAGAGATTCTCAATAAATGTTTATTACTTAAGCCGAAGTCAAAGCCTCTGGTGTCTGAACTGGGCCGGGGAGGCACGCATGCGCACGGTCACACCGCGCACTCCTGGGTCCTTCTTCGTCTCTTCCAGCAGGGGGCGCGAGGACACCGGCCGGGGCAGGTAGGGAGAGCCGGGGCCTGCCGCTCTCACCCTGGAAGCCAGCAGAGCCGGATCCAGAACAGGACCCAGGGTGGGAACTGCGAGTCCTGGAGTCCGAGGCTAGCTGCACTCCCCACCCCACCCTCCTAAACCGCATCACCCCTTTGCTTACCAACATCTCCTTTTTTAAAGGCTGGAGCAGCTGTGGCTTTGCTGAGCTAGACCAAAAATCTGATGACCCCAACAGGAGCTGCCTCCTTGGTAACAGGGCTCCATGCAGCTGTGGGGAGACCACTTGTGCTCATCAGGGGGTTTACGTGTTCAGACGGCTGGCGGACCGTGTCGCCTGCTGCAGGCTACCCACACTTCAGTCTCTCGATCAGGGCTCGACCGCTGGAGGTGGGCTCTTCACTCCCACAGCCCTGGGCCCCCAACAGGACAGGCACCTCCTCCCTTCCCGGCGCCGCCCTCACTGAGGGTCGTTGAGCGGCAAAGAAACGAGGCCGCTGGCTGTGCCCACGTGCCACCCCAGACGTGCCGGGGCGAAAGTGTAGGTAGGAATCCTGGAATGCTTAGTGGCGTTAGAGGGCAGAGGGCCTGGGTTCACCTTCAGCTGCTTCGGGTTTTGAAGAAAGATTAACTGTCCCCTGCTCTGCAGGTTGACTGTCACGAAAGGGACGGGGAGACCAAGCAGATGTGGCTGCCCCAGCCCTGAGGAACTGGAAGCCCAAGGTGAGAGGTGAATGAGTAGAACGAGTCCGCCCAAGTCCCATCCACATTTTATTTCCTTCGCATTCCTGAGGCAGGAAGAGGATGGAGGTGCCCAGAGAACCAGCGTGTTTCCAAGTCCCGCTGTGTCTCCGAGGCAGCCATTTTGTCTCCTCCCATTGTTTACCTTTCCTAGAGACTTACCCCCCCTCCCCAAGGGTAAAGGTCAGAGGTTGCTGGTCTGGAGGCCTCCGTGGTCTTCAGGGCTCCCTGAAGGTCATTGCCGAGGGCACCGGCCGGGGGCCATCTTTACCAGACAGTGTTAGGAGCTTCACCATTAGACCATCCAACACTGTGCTGGAAGATGGACCCAGAGCCGGCCACAGGCATCCGGGCTGAAGCCGGCCGGTTGCTCCAAGGACCCTGGCCGCAGGCCAGCTGAGGTCTATTGAAAGTCTGCGAGCCAATCCCCAGCTCAGGGTCAAGCTGTGGGTTCTGGATCCTCCAGATGACAAATCACACTGGGTTGGGGGAGGGGCTGGGGCCATTGTGTCCCTTCCGTGGGCAACCAGCCAACAGCCAACCGAGGGCCACCTCTTTCTCAGCACCCTCTGCTCAAGAGGAAGGGGCCTCCAGGGCTGGGGGAGGCTCGGGAGTGGGCGTCACGGCCAGCTGGGTGCTGGGGGCCCGGGGCGGTGGGCGTCGCTGGCACGGGGCAGGGGCCTCCATCATTACCCGGCAGTATTAGAGACTCTCAACCAGCACCCAAACACTGCTGGGTAAGACGGGGGCCCCCACCCCACCACCCGGCCTGGCTGGCAGTCCTCGCCGAGGTGCCCGGTGGAGCTGCGGAGCCCTGGCTCCCCTCCCCCACCGCCCGTGTCCCCGGGGACACTTCCGGGTGAGCCCGGCAGCCGCCACCAGGCCCACCCCAGGTTGCTGATCCACTGAGGCCGGGCCAAGGCTTCGGAAGCCCCCTGCCCGTCTCTTCCCCGCCCTGAGCCCCCTCCCCGCCCCCCCC